ATGGACGTATCACCGGATCCACTCAATCCTCTTTATTGCATCATGTTAGAATATAATGACAATGATGGTGACCGAGTAAAAGTTAGAATTTGAAAAAAAAAATGAATTGAAATCAAAGTTTACTTTAGGTACTTTCGTTTTTAAGAGTGCCATATAGAACATAAATTCCCGTACTCAGCGGCTCCAACTATGGTGGGCTGAGGTAGTCTGGGCCCTCCATCTGTAAAATATACTACGAGCTTCAAACAAATGAATAGGAAGATTTAGGAGCAAAGATCGTTTAGAGCCCTTGTATAAATAAAAAATATAAAAAAAACTTCACCCATTAACATTTACGTTCGGGCACAGTCTCCCTTGTAATTCTGGTTACCGGTCTGCTACTTCCATAATTCAAATGTTTTTGGGACGTTCATATAGAATAGGGAGGTGACGTGGCACTTGGGCTCTCTGTCATTCAGAATACTGAAGGTTAGGCTTTCACCAGGATATCACTTACTATCTGATAAAAAGGCCTAATTTAGGAACTATATTCTAAATCGGTTCGCTGTTGTATTTATTTAACCGTTAACTGAACTAGGATTATACCTATTGGGTTATATGATAAGATTTTGTTATCTTCAGCTGCCGGTAGTTTAAGCGCGCCGGGTCGCTGTTCGGTTGGACAGCAAGTCCATTACACACGAAATGAATCGAGGTTAACAGAAGTAAAAAAAAAAAACATTGTTAGTAAACAAATATTGTACTATATCTGTAAAAGTCGGATGACATGCACCGCCCGCCAGACACATTTTTCATACAACTCATAAAAGGAATGTTTGATTGAAGGATTAATAGTACAACTATGCACAAAATATAGGCCTATTGGAAAAGTGTACACATCGTCCAAAATTCATATTCCTAAATTACTAAGCGATCCGAATATCTAAAACACAAACAACATAATAGTATGAAAATGACTGCTATTATTAGTTAATTCGTATAACTTTAATAGTCGAAATGAAATGCAATGTGACGTATGATGTTAATTAGTATACGTTTCGGAATGGAGGTTTGATCGACATTCAAAAGGAAACGAACTTAAGTTGATTTTTTTGAATTGTGTTTTAAGGCCTGTTTATACTTCAACGATAACAATAACGATAAAAAGCTAAAAAGCAATAGTTCATATAGAAAATAAAAGAAATAAGAGAAATTTTTACACTAGAACGATTCGATAACGATTTATCAGTTATGCGATAACAACGTATTTTGACAAATCAAATCAGATGACGTCATAATCATGGAAAATATTAAAATCGTCGTAGTAGCAACGATTTTATCGTTTGTCTATGATTATGACGTCATCTGATCTGATTTGTTAAAATAATTTGTTATTGCATACACGATAAATCGTTATAGAATCGTCCTAGTGTAAAAACTTCTCTTATTTCTTTTGTTTTCTATATGATCAATCGCTTTTTAGCATTTTTATCGTTATCGTTATCGTTGAAGTGTAAACAGGCCTCAACCATGGACCTATTAATAAGGTCTATGAATATAATAACCTACATTGTCTTATCTACATGAAATGTATTTACCCTTATCATAAAATAGATTGACAAGGCCATATAAGATCAAACACTTTAAATCTGAAATTAGTGGCTATAGCTTAGACTGATAACCTATTATTATTATTATTATTATTATTATTATTATTATTATTATTATTATTAGTATTATTATTATTATTATTATTATTTTTATTAGTATTATCTGTTTACCAAAGCTAAAAGTGAATTTTGTGCATGTTTGTTTAGTTGTGAGTAAAACCATCGTACAAAAATATTAGAACTTAATTATTTGTCCTGAAAGACTGTAATTATTGAATTGAATATATAATTGTTTATTTAGCTAAACAAGAATTCCTTATCAATAGCAGATTCAATATTATTGGGGAACAAGAACGAATCTTCCATTTTACCCCTAAAAGCAAATGTTATACGGAAGGCCTAACTCACTGTAACAACACCAACCTAATTTCAACCGTTAATGGAGTCATAATATTGCATGAAATACAATAACCCTTTTCGCAATGCGGTGATATTTACATATGGATAAATATACGCTACAAACTAATTAACATAATGATAAGAACATTATTTATGTAACTAAAAATTATAACAACCTAAAGGGAATGACAGTGCACAGATGTCTTCAATAAATTCTATATGTATCCAGCGCTTTTCGTTCTGCATGTCATGGTTGGCGTACTATCCAATTCGTTATCACAGCGGCAAATTTGATTCTCGTCTTCGTAGGATTCATTTACCTGGAATAAAAGTAAGTTTCGAAAAAAAAACAACAATGAGTTTATGGAAATATTATTTTAAATAGAGATAATAGAGTATTGTACAATATAAGAACATTTATTTTTATATTTATTTATAAAAGTTCGGTAAAACAATCTTGGGTGGGAGGGGTGTCAGATAGCCACACAGTCGTCATGAATAGTGGCTAATAATTAGCCTCCCCCACCCATCTTAACTAAACTTATCAAAAGACATACATTAAATAAAAAAGAAAAATTCAAGGAGATTGATTTTTAAAGTATTCAATTAAATTTTGTTTAAACGTTAATACAGTTTTCGAGCCTACCACTAATTGTGGTAGACTATTCTAGAGTAAAATAACGGACAAATAAAATGATGATTTAAAAGACAGAGTGCGTCCAAATGGAACAACAAAGGATTCAGAATGATTTAAGCGAGTTGGTCGCCGTGGTCTTAACTAAGATATCAGAAGGAATATAATTAATTAATTAACCTAACGAAACGAAAAGAAATTTTTAAGTAGGGAAAACAATCTTTAATGTTTTAGACGGTTGTGTATAAACGATGCCTAGCAACATTTGGTGCACTCTACCTATCTGTATAGGCCTATTGTACATTTTAAACTTCAAGCTTAAAAAGCTTTTATTTAATGTATATAATGGACATGGGCTGGATTTTTGTCACGTTGAATTAACATTGAAAAATGATTGATTGTCGTGATTCATTGTTTTGTAAAATAAATGAAATGTTCCTTTATAAATTCATCGCCTAATTGTATCGGTATACCATGGAAGATTATTTCTCCATGTATATACTCATTTAAATAAAATTTATACAGTTTGTTTCGTTTGTACCTATTCTGATTGCACCAAACAGCAGTTTTGTATATACTGACTGAACAATAAATAAATATACACACACATACACACACACACACACATACACCTGTCTCTTATACACATCTAGATGTGTATAAGAGACAGTATATATACTTACTGAGTAGTAAACGCCGTTGTGTATGCATCCGCAGTCCTCTGGTTCAACACATGCGTTACCCTTATCGAGGCGTCCTCCATTTGGACAAACACATCCGAAGACGCACTGCAAAGTACATATGGTAATCTCGTCTTTTCTTAAAGCCTCACAGGTCGGGATACCGCAGGCACTTGCACATGAGCTAGAGACTGTGTCTCCTGCACAGATATCAGTTGAACTTACATCTGATAAAATAAAATAATAATAATATGATAAAAGTGAATCTGCTTTTGGGTGTAAGAATATTTTTAATGAATGTATTTTTTATATAAATGAATAGCCTATGTCTTATATTTTTATTTCCCTATCCAAAAATAAATTTATTAACTGTTGATTTTGTTGAACAAAATAAAGGTAAGCATGGGTTGAGATCAGAATTATAAAATAATGATAATAATAATAATAATAATAATAATAATAATAATTATAATAATAATAATATTAATAATAATAATAATATTAATACTGATAATTGAAATAGGCTAATAATAATGTAGCGCTCTTGCAGCAATAAAAACATCACTTTTAAAAACTACAACAGAAAACGCTGTATAGGTGCATGTCTTAATAAATGTCAGCATGGTAATTTTTTTGTGCAGACACATAATATTGATTTAGTTTGCTAATGGTTTCACGAAACAATTTTGATTGTTAGACTTGTATAACGCGTATAATTCATCTAATCTTTATTGCCAATACATAAAAAATACATCAGAAATCTTTGTTTAGACACATAGAGGCTCAATTATAAAAGTTAAATAAGTACATTTAATTAATAATAAGATTTCATGTGATCCAGGTTTTCTCACCATGGGTTTTCTCTTAACATATTTGTTGTTAATAGCTATAGATTTAGATAATGGGACAAATGATTTGTTATAACGTTTAGTACGACTAGATGAAGAACGGATACGGATATTGGGTGGGAGAAATTTGTACTCATTGTTAGAGTGGATGATCAGTTTGAGCAAGTATGCGTTTCGCCATGGAGAGAACACCTACATCATATTTAAAACTAAGCTTAAAAACACCAATGCGCTTGTGTTTTCTTCGTCGATAATACAGAATCAACCGTAAACTACACAATCTCCCTGGATTAAGTATTCCTAGTTGTGCATAATACTAGGCCTAGGCCTATTGCATTTCGTTCCAAATGATTCGCATTCCAACAGAGGCCTAAACATTACGCCTGAGTGCACACTATTAAGTGTCTTGGACGTGTGACTTTAAAAAAAATATAATTAAAAATAGTGTTAATGAAGTAATAAATAACATAATAATAATTATTATTCGTTAATTGTATTTTTTACTCTGAAACGAGTGTGATTGAACTAAGTATCCTTAAAAACCGACTTGACTGAAAATTGTGTGTGCTGAAAATCGACTATTTTTGAACTCGAGTTTGATAGTTGACCTGTTGGCTTCCCATACTCGTAAGTATCTTCAAAGGAGACCTTTCTGTTTCGAAATAATACATACCTTGTTCACAATACGTTCCTGTAAGGGTTGGTGGACAGTCACACGTGTATGATGGATCAGATGGGTCAGGATTTGAAGGTCGACAGGTTGATCCAGCGGCACACCTATGTGAACCATCGTAGCAAGGATGACCTTAAGAACAATATTTTTTATATAGAATAAATACGGTATAAACATATATTATTGTTTTTTTAATAATTCTGAATTTAACCATAAAACATGTTTAAAGTACTGTTTCTATCGTTTCGTATTACGTATGAATATATTCATACAGCATTACCACAAGGAGGTTTACGTGTATTATTTACGTGTATCATTTCATATACAGTAGGGCGTATCACATTGATCTGCTTTGGTCTACGTTTCACATGTGTTCGTTGCATACAACATCAATTTCCGAAAACCTTAGTGAGCCAATTGGTTAAGGCTTCTGCATAAACAGCAGAAAGTCCTGGTTTCGAACAACAGATTGGTTCTTAGGCCTACAGTGTATTTTCATAAAGCATTACCGACAAAATCTACAGTTGATAAATCATGGTTTATTTTTAAAAGTATCAATTTGAAATAGGTCATATTAAAAAAAAGCCAATTGAATTTAAATTAGCCATATTTACCGGCTTTGCAGTCCACCAAAGTGGCATTTTCATAGTAATACTCGTAGTGACATCCACCGCAGTAGTTGGGTCTGAAATTGGAATTTAAAGCTTTAATAAAAAGTACAGCACTTACTAAGATATACAAAATCATCACGTGACACTGACCGATGCCTAATGTTGAATGTTTTTGTTAATATAATTATAAAATCCACCTATAGACCATATTACTTTAACGCCGCTGCATGTCACTCTCGCTAGCTTCTACTTGTAATTTTCGCACTGTAAATCCACTGTCGTACTTACATACATATGGCAGACGGGTCCAAAAGACAAGTCGTCCCATCACACGGGTAATCACAATTATCTCCAGCAACATTTGATCCAGGGCAACGAACTGAAAGGTAATTTTTTCACTTTTATTATCATCATTATTTGTACTATTAATATAGTTATTGCTTTTTCATTATTATTCTTACTATAATAATTATTATTATTTTTCATCAATATTAATTTGTATTAATATTAATATTTATTCTTTGATTACAGTATATCATGATATTATAGGCCCATAGTCCAACTATGAAGAAGATGTGTCCACGTGTGTTTCGAAACATATAGAATATAATACTGCGTAAGGTAATACAAACTCAGATACGTAAAATATTGACCTTAGAAACACTAAAACTTATTGAAATGAATGGACATTCGGAGAAAGTTCAGTGATAGCTGATGATAACTGAAAGTCTAAACATAGAGCTATGATTAAAGCCAAGTAGAACATAAAGCGGCGATTAATATATATTATATTTATGTGAATAATAAATTTAGTGTTTCAAGTCTACCAAGTCAAACTTATTGTCTTTACTTTTAAGTTGTATTTCGACGAAACACACGTGGACTTATCATTATGCTTTATCGTCTGTCTCTTATACACATCTAGATGTGTATAAGAGACAGTATATATATTATATAGCTTACTTGGATTCGGTTTACATTGACATGTCTGGCAACCATTTGAATCTGTTTCGTAACCGAATAGGCATGGCTTACACTTGAACATTGGGCAAGGCTCTGAGAATGAGAAATTAATATTAATATCTCTATGTAAAGCATTCACACACAGTAAAGTTATCATTATGATGCTAAGCCTAACAATCATAAAATCGGAATAAACGTTCAAAGGTAGTAATTAAAACAAGAGTACATAACAATAAAATATATAAAAATATTAGTTCCCCAGGAGAGGATCGAACTCTCGACCTCCGCATTACCTAACCAACAAGGACGAAGCCAAGTACTGTTTATAAGTACGGCGCGCTAACCGACTGAGCCACTGGGGAAACTGTTGACACTTCTTAAAACAATGTATTCATTAACAAAAATAAAAAGTAGTACTACTCGGATTATGCAATAATCTAATATCAAAAGAGAAAGCACATTCACGTTTTGTATTGATTCTTAATAAAAACTGTTCATCCTCTAATTTAATGTTTATGGCATATTTACTTATTTGATATAAAATGAAATAATATTATATAAAGTTGAACACATATAAGCCTAAAATATGTATATGTACAATAGGGTGACAAAAATTTAATAATATTTGAAAGTTACTTTCTATATTTGTTAAGTTAGTATTCAATAAAATTAGATGTAGGCCTATAAATTATTTTCATTGACATTTAAATGTGAATTTTCCCATTCCTAGAAAAGTTTAAAATGTAAATCATCGAAAACTGACATTTTTATTATAACATGTTTATAACATATTATTTGATGCTACAAGGAATTCAATATTTTTTTTAACATACATCTACAATAATAGTATATATATTATATATAGGCCTATATGTATATAATATATAATATACATATATATATCTTTAACATCTTTAACATACATTTACAAACTAAAAATAAGTGATGGCTTTTGCTCTTACCCCGTCTACATTCACAGGTGCGACAGCCATTATCATCGAGAACATTCCCAAATTGGCACAGTATTTCGCAAACTGGTGGACAATCTGCAACATCAAATTACAATAACATAATTATAAATAACAAGAAGAAATATGTTTGGAATTTTTATAATATTTAAATGAATTTATGCTATGTTTAAATACATAATAATTGAATTTGATTATACATAGATAAAATATAATTATTTTACTTAAAGTACGATTTTTAAATTGGTATATGAAGATTGATACAGTATACAATATAATTAATAAAAAGGAGTAATATATATAATGATTAGATGTGATTACATATAACAATTATTAATAAGAAAATAAGAGAAAAAATCATTCAAATTAATATTTTGACATGTTTTGAGCAATAAACTTAACATCAAACCAGAGTTGTTTCCATCTTTAGAATGGCATTGAATGCCAGGGGTGGCGCCAGGATTTTCCCGACGGGGTCGGGGGCCGAGGTCCCCGACCGGGGGGGGGGCGGTGCCCCCGACGAGGTGTCAGATTTCCCCGACGAAAGTAAAGTGTAAAGTGGGCGTGGTCGAGCTTCGATTTAAAGGTTACGAAGCCCCCGAAAATTTCTACAATTTAGGGGTTTCAATATATATATTTATATTTGTATATGTATATGTACATACCATTTTCACAAAATTTTCCATAATAATGTTCAGTACACTGACAAGTAAACCCACTATCGTCTGGTTCTGGCACGCACGTTCCGTCATTTGCACATCCTGTTGTACCTGGTGCGCATGGTCGTCCAATCACAGGAGCTGTTTCATAATTGATATTGATAGCTGTTTTACGTAATTGATATTAAAACAATGTATACAGATTTACCTCCTAAAAATTGCATCGGATTGAAACTTACCACAAACTGCCAGATCACCATCTCTTGTGTAAAATTCCTGGGTACAGTGACAATAGTTGGCGCTATAAAGATAATTATTTTAAAAGATAAGAAGATAGTAATAAACTGTATTTTTAACAGTTGCTTTGAAAATCGAACCAGTTACTTTAAAATTTAGCGGAAAAAAATTAATTTGTAAAAATATTTCTCACTTTTTTGTGAATTCCACTACATAAAATAAAGTTTTATAGTTAGTAACAAAAACGTC